GGAAACCTTAGAGTTGCCTCCAATTCAAAGGTAAGGGGTGGGGTTCAAATTTATAACCGGTTGTATGCTAAATGTTATGTGGGGTTGATTAGGAATTTAATTTTCGTAGCCGATCGATGAGCGTAAATGGTTCTGTCCAAAATTTGAACGAATGTGTTAGTTGCTGTGAATGATTATTCATACGATTGCATTATAAATTATGTTAATTCATTTGTTATGATGGTTCTGTTAATCGACCATGACTGTGATCAAAACCGAAACGAAAACGGGAGAAAACGAGGAATTCTAGAAGGACTGAAAGTTGGGGCCGTTCGTCCCTAAAATTCATAACAGAGAAATAAAATAAATGATGAACAAGGTGATATAGGGGAAGACCGCCCCTCTCATGGAATGAAATGAAAAAAAAATTGTGTTGTCTGGTGCAAACAGGGCTGTCCGCCCTTTCCACTTCATATGCAGTAAAAAGAGAAAGAAAACAAAAACAAAAATGATAGTTAGGAAAGGGGGTTCTTAATGCAACAAGGAATAGTCTATATAGAACAAATTGGGAATTTTCTATTAGGTACAGTAAGAGTGAGGAATAGGAGTAACATTAAGATGAATAAAATATGAGTTTATGAGTTAGAAAACAGTGGCACTCATTGAGTAGTAATAAAACAGTAACAGAACAAAACGATTACAAAAAGTTGGCGATTAACCGGGACACGATCGAAACGATAGAATATTAGTCCGGTAATAAATTGGTAATTTTTGTACCGGTGACAAAATAACCCGTAAATGTATCGATGTTGACTGTATGGAATTAGTTTAAGTCGTTACGAAAATGTTGCTAAATTCTATTTTTGATAAATACGTTGCTTTGGTTGAATGGTGCTGAATTTTTGTTGTTGTTGAATGATTGACTTACTTGAAATGTGTGCATCTGTTTATGGATGAAAATTATTGTAGGCCACTGGCCAACGTTGAGTTGTGGAATTTACTTTGTTGTTTGTTGTTTCGTCAAGTCCATAAATGTTGCATTGATAACATAAAAATCCACGTTGTGCCTGAGAGGGTGGCTATAAAGGCAAAAATCCATGTTGTGCCCGAGAGGGTGGCCATAAAGGTAAAAAAATCCACGTTGTGCCCGTAATGGGTGGCCACAAAGGCAAATTTTTACATTGTGGAGTTCTTCTCCAATGACACCACATGCATATGCATAGTTGAGTCGCATTGCGTTGCATTTGATGTTGTTGATGATTATGTTGTATGATGTTGATGATTATGTCGTTTGATTTGTTGATGATTATGCCGTTGAATTGATGTTTTGTTGTTAGTTTTCGAAGATTAATGATTGAATTGCAAATAATAGAATTTTGTGATAATTAATTGTGTGGTTGTGAAGCTTCAATTATTATGTCTTTGATTTGATCTCGTCATGATATTTATCATGCAATTTGTTATATTGTTCAATATCTCACCCTTTCTGTTGTATGTTACCGCCAATGGTGGTAACTTGTAGGTAATCCAGAATGAAACGGTTGTCTTCATTAAAGAGTCGAGTCATCGCTCTGATACATAGCACTCGGGGGGATAAACGCTTGACTATTTTATTGTTTTGATGTTTTAATTACATGCTGAATTTTACTATGCATTGTTGTTGATTCTTGACAATTTTCATTGTTGCTGAATTCTCGTTGTTGAATTCGTATTAAATCAGCGTTGCTGAATTTTATTAGCATTTTACATTGTTTGGTTGGATTTTAAGCAAGCGTTGAACTTGTTGAATTTTCAATGCAATTGAAGTTTTAGACTCGTGGTCCTTATTGAATTTGGTTGAATAAAAAGTGATATGACCTTGCTGTTAAAGTTTATGAATTTTCGTTGTATATTAAACAAATTATTTTATGTTTTAATTATTAGACAGGTTGTTATCGGTTTATCCGGTTTTTTGTGATGCATTAAAAAGAAGAAATTTTTTTTACAGGTGTATGTTTTTAGTATGGATGAAATGTGACATCTCAATTGTTGAACTCTGATTAAATTACTATTATCCGTTGGGGTAGATTTGGGGTGTTACAATAGTGGTATCAGAGCAGATTCTTTCGTTCGACCAAGTTGTCGAGTCAGTCGTTGTGTCTAACAATCGAGTATGGTTATTTTTGAAATCTGATTGTTATTGTGTTGTAGTGAAAAGTTGAAATGGTTGGAAGAAATGACGCTGCAATTGTTGTTGCATTGGAAGCAATGGCTCATGCTATGGAAAATCAGCCGAACATTGACGAGAATGCTCTATCTCGTAGTTTGGAAACATTTCAGAGGGAGAATCTGCCTACCTTCAAGGGTAAGTATGATCCTGATGGTGCGCTGGAATGGTTGAAAGAAATTGAACGGATCTTTCGGGTGATGGACTGTACACCAGAGCAGAAGGTTCGTTATGGGACTCATATGTTGGCAGTCGAAGTTGATGAATGGTGGCTAGATACTCAACCGAGGTTGGAAGCTGCGAGTGAGGGAATCACTTGGGATGTGTTCCATAGGGAATTCACGAGGAAGTATTATCCAGAGGATGTCCGTGGAAATAAAGAGATAGAGTTTCTTGAACTGGAGCAAGGAAACAAGTCTGTCACAGAGTATGCTGCAAAGTTTATGGAAATGTCTAAGTTTTATCAGCATTACAGCGCGGCAACTACTGAATTTTCTAAGTGTATTCAAGTTTGAAAATGGATTGTGATCTGAGATAAAGAAAGCAGTCGGGTATCAGAAGATTCAGGTGTTTGTTGATTTGGTTGACAGCTGTAGGATTTATGAGGAAGATAATAATGCTCATTACAAGATCGTTAGTGAGAGAAGAGGCAAGCCTCAACAAAACCGTGGTAAGCCTTATGAAGCTCCAACTGGTATAGGAAAAGGAAGGCATAGATTTACTGGTGGCAAGGGGACTAGTGGGGGAGATGCTCCTGCTGGTGTTATCTGTTTCAAATGTGGTAAGGCCGGTCACAAGAGTAATATGTGTACTACTGAAGTGAGAAGATGTTTTCGTTATGGTAAAGTTGGACATACAGTTCCTGAGTGCAAGCATACAAAAATGGTTTGTTTCAACTGTGGTGAAGAATGACATGTTAGTAGTCAGTTCCAGAAACCAAAGAAAGTGCGGACTGGTGGAAAAGTATTTGCTTTATCTGGGAATCAGGCGTCTAATGAGGACAGACTCATCAGAGGTACATGCTTCATTAATAGTACTCCTTTACTTACTATTATTGATACTGGTGCTACACACTGTATTATTGTTGCTGAATATGATGAAAGATTGGGTCTTGTGTTGTCTCCCATGATTGGAGAGATGGTCGTTGATACTCCAGTTAAGGGATCGGTGACTACATCTCTCGCATGTTTGAAGTGTCCTCTGTCGATTTTTGACACAGACTTTCTTGTTGATTTAGTGTGTCTGCTGTTGAGTGGCTTGGATGTAATCTTAGGTATGAACTGGTTAGAGTATAACTGCGTTCATATCAATTGCTATGATAAGCCAGTGAGGTTTTCTACTCCTGAGGAGGAGGGAACCAGTTTGTTGTCTGCAAGACAGTTGCGACAGCTGATGCAAGAAGAAGCATAGGTGTTTTTGTTGATGGCGTCGATGTCTGTTGAGAATCAAGCTATAATTGAAGAGATGGAAGTGGTGCGAGAATTTCCAGAAGTTTTTCCTAACGAAATTCCTGAAGTTCCTCCATAACGAGAAGTTGAATTTACTGTCGATCTTGTACCTGGTACTAGACCTGTGTCTATGGCACCGTACAGGATGTCTGCATCTGAGTTAGCAGAGTTGAAGAATCAATTAGAAGATCTTCTTGAAAAGAAATTTGTGAGACCAAGTCTATCGCCGTGGGGAGCTCTAGTGTTGTTGGTCAAGAATAAAGACGGAAGCATGAGGTTGTGTATTGATTATAGACAGTTGAACAAGGTGACAATTAAGAATAAGTATCCACTTCCAAGAATATATGACTTGTTGGATCAGTTAGTGGGTGCTAAGGTGTTTAGCAAGATTGATTTGAGATCCGGTTATCACCAGATCAAAGTAAAAGACGGAGATATTCAGAAGACAACTTTCAGAACTAGATATGGACATTATGAGTACTCGGTAATGCCTTTTGGTGTTACTAACGCGCCATGAGTTTTTTATGGAATACATGAACTGTATCTTTCATACTTATTTGGATCAGTTTGTGGTAGTGTTTATTAACGACATCTTGATTTACTCTAAGTCGGAATAGGAACATGTTGAGCACTTGAGATTGGTATTGCAAGTGTTGAAGGAAAGAAAGTTGTATGCTAAACTGTCGAAGTGTGACTTCTGGTTGAAGGAGGTTAGTTTTCTGGGTCACGTGATATCAGGTAGTGGCATTGTTTTAGATCCATCTAAGGTTGATGATGTGTTGCAATGGGAATCTCCAAAGTCGGCTACTGAGATTCGAAGCTTTTTGGGACTTGCTGGTTATTATAGAAGGTTTATTGAGGGCTTATCTAAGTTAGCACTTTCGTTGACTAAGTTAACTTGTAAGGGTAAAGTTTTTGTGTGGGATGTTCAGTGTGAGGAAAGTTTTACAGAATTGAAGAAGAGGTTGACGTTTGCTCCAGTGTTGACATTGCCTAATCCATAGGAATCGGTTGTTGTGTACTGTGATGCATCTAAGTTTAGTTTAGGTGGTGTGCTGATGCAGCATAATAAAGTGGTTGCTTATGCGTCGAGGAAGTTGAGGATTCATGAGAAGAATTACCCTACGCATGATTTAGAACTTGCTGCTATTGTTTTTGTGTTGAACATATGGAGACATTATCTTTATGGTTCTAGACTAAAAGTGTTTAGTGACCATAAAAGTTTGAAGTATCTGTTTGGCCAAAAGGAGTTAAATATGAGACAATGAATATGGTTAGAGCTGTTGAAGGATTATGATTTTGGGTTAAACTATCATCCGAGAAAAGCTAATGTTATAGCTGATGCTTTAAGTCGTAAGACTTTGCATATGTCAGCAATGATGGTTAAGGAGTTGGATTTGATTGAGCAGTTCAGAGACATGAGTTTGGTTTGTGAAGTGACACCGCAGAGTGTTAAATTGGGAATGTTAAAGATTGATAACGATTTCCTGGACAACATTAGAGAAGCTCAGAAGCTAGATGTGAAATTGGTGGATTTGATGGTTGGAACCGATCAGGCTGAAGATAATGATTACAAGTTAGATGTGCAAGGTGTATTGAGATTTCGTGGTAGGATCTGTATTCCTGATGATGCGGGAATGAAAAGAGTTATTCTTGAGGAGAGTCATAAGAGTAAGTTAAGTATTCATCCAGGAGCGATGAAAATGTACCGTGATTTGAAGAATTTATTTTGGTGGCCTGGGATGAAACGTGATGTGGCGCAGTTTGTGTATGCATGTTTGACTTGTCAGAAGTTGAAAGTTGAGCATCAGAAACCTGCTAATTTGATGCAACCGTTAGAAATTCCAGAATGGAAATGGGATAACATTTCGATGGACTTTGTAACGGGATTACCGAACACTTTAAGGGGATGTGATTCGATTTGGGTGATCGTTGATAGGCTTACAAAGTCAGCTCACTTCATTCCTATAACATCACTTTTCCAATATCGAAGTTGGCAGATATTAGTATTAGAGTGATTGTTAAGCTGCATGGTATTCCGTTGTGTATTATGTCGGATCGAGATATGAGGTTTACTTCTGAATTCTGGAAGAGTTTGTAAGAGGCATTGGGTTCTAAGTTGATATTGAGTTCAGCATATCATCCTCCGACAGATGGTCAAAATGATCAAACTATTCAGTCTTTAGAAGATCTGTTGAGAGCATGTGATCTTGAGCAAGGAGGTTCGTGGGATACGTATCTTCCGTTGATAGAGTTCACGTATAATAACAGCTACCATTCTAGTATCGGAATGGCACCGTTCGAAGCTTTGTATGGTCATAGGTGTAGGACTTCGTTATGTTGGTATGAATCTGGAGAGAATGTAGTACTTGGACCTGAGGTTGTTCGAGAGACTACTGAGAAGGTGAAGTTGATTCGAAAGAAGATGAAAACTTCACAAAGTAGACAGAAAAGTTATCATGACAAACGTAGAAAGGACTTGGAATTTGAAGCTGGTGATCATGTATTTTTTAGAGTCACGCCTGTGACTGGTGTTGGAAGGGCTTTGAAGTCTAAGAAGCTCACTCCTCGTTTCATTGGTCCGTATCAGATATCAGACAGAGTTGGAAAGGTTGCATACCGGGTGGCGTTACCGCTAAATTTGTCGAAATGATGTGTTTCACGTGTCACAACTCTGGAAGTACATTTCAGATCAGTCGCATGTAATTCAGATGGATGATGCGCAAGTGCGGGATAATCTCACTGTGGAGGCGATGCTTTTACGTATTGAGGATCGTGGAGTGAAGACGTTGCGAGGAAAGGAGATTGCTTTGGTGAAAGTGGTCTGGTTAGGAGCTGTCGGAGAAAGTCTGACTTGGGAGCTGAAAAGCAAGATGCAGGAATCTTATCTCAAGTTATTTGATCGAGGTTATTTCAAGGATGAAATTCTTTTAAGTAGGGGAGAGTTGTAACGCCCGTTTTAAATTTAATTAAAATAATCATTTGTGTGTTGTATTATGTTGACTTTGTTGTCGTAGTCGGGTATGCGTGTAGTATTACCGTCAGGCGAGATTGCCGTACCGGATAAATAAATTAATCATCAGAAATAAATTTTATTCGTGGAATAAATGGTGAATAAGATTTAATTGGGCCAAACTAGTAGAATAATATAGTAAAACGGGGTGGTGCAAATAGTGAACCCAAAAGGAATTATTACCAAATTAATTAAGTAATTAAAATAAAATATTTATTAAAAATAGAAATTAGGTTTCATTCTGTGAAAAACAAAAATAAGGGTTTGAGAAGAGGCAGAAGAGAGAAAGTGCAGTCAAGTGGAAATTGGTCGGAAAAACCATAATCGGAGCATTGATGGAATCGGAATCGAAGAGCGGATTTAGCATCGGAAACCTCAGAGTTGCCTCCAATCCAAAGGTAAGGGGTGGGGTTCAACTTTATAACCGGTTGTATGCTAAATGTTACGTGGGGTTGATTAGGAATTTAATTCTCGTAGCCGATCGATGAGCGTAAATGGTTATGTCCAAAATTTGAATGAATGTGTTACTTGCTGTGAATGATTATTCATACGATTGCATTATAAATTATTTTAATTCATTTGTTATGTTGGTCCTGTTAATCGACCATGACTGTGATAGAAACCGAGACGAAAACGGGAGTAAACGAGAAATTCTAGAAGGACTTAAAGTTGGGGTCATCCTCTCCTAAAATTCATAACAGACAAATAAAATAAATGATGAACAGGGTGATATAGGGGAAGACCGCCCCTCTCATGGAATGAAATGAAAATATAAAAAAATTGTGTTGTCTAGTGCAAATAGGGTCGTCCGCCCTTTCCACTTCATATGCAGTAAAAAGAGAAAGAAAACAAAATGAAAATGATAGTTAGGAAAGGGGGGCTCTTAATGCAACAAGGAATAGTCTATATGGAACAAATTGGGAATGTCCTATTAGGTACAGTAAGAGTGAGGAATAGGAGTAACATTAAGATGAATAAAATATGAGTTTATGAGTTAGAAAACAGTGGCACTCATTGAGTAGTAATAAAACAGTAACAGAACAAAACGATTACAAAACATTGGTGATTAACTGGGACACGATCGAAACAGTAGAATATTAGTCCGGTAATAAATTGGTAGTTATTGTACCGGTGACAAAATAACCCGTAAATGTGTCGATGTTGAATGTGTGGAATTAGTTTAAGTCGTCACGAAAATGTTGCTAAATTCCGTTGTTGATAAATACGTTGCTTTGGTTGAATGGTGCTGAATTTTTGTTGTTGTTGAATGATTGACTTGCTTGAAATGTTTGCATCTGTTTATGGACGAAAATTGTTGTAGGCCGTTGCCAACGTTGAGTTGTGGAATTTACGTTGTTGTTGTTTTTTCGTCGAGTCCATAAATGTTGCATTCATAGCATAAAAATCCATGTTGTGCCCGAGAAGGTGGCCATAAAGGCAAAAATCCACGTTGTGCCCGAGAGGGTGGCCATAAAGGCCAAAAAAATCCACGTTGTGCCCGTAATGGGTGGCCACAATGATAAATTTTTACGTTGTGGAGTTCTGCTCCAATGGTACCAAATGCATATGCATAGTTGAGTCGCATTGCGTCGCATTTGATGTTGTTGATGATTGTGCTGTGTGATGTTGATGATTATGTTGTTTGATTTGTTGATGATTATGCCGTTGAATTGATGTTATGTTGTTAGTTTCCGAAGATTAATGATTAAATTACAAATAATAGAATTTTGCGATAATTATTTATGTGGTTGTGAAGCTTCAATTATTATGGTTTGATTTGATCTCGTCATGATATTTATCATGTGATTGTTATATTGTTCAATATCTCACCCTTTCTATTGTATGTTACCGCTAATGGTGGTAACTTACTGGTAATCCGGAATGAAGCGGTTGTCTTCATTAGTGAACCGAGTCGTCGCTCTGATACATAGCATTCGGGGGGATGAACGATTGGCTGTTTTATTGTTTTGATGTTTTAATTACATGCTGAATTTTACTATGCATTGTTGCTAATTCTTGACAATTTTCATTGTTGCTGAATTCTCGTTGTTGAATTCGTATTAAATCAGCGTTGCTGAATTGTATTAGCATTTTACGTTGTTTGGTTGGATTTTAAACAAGTGTTGAACTTGCTGAATTTTTAATGAAATTGAAGTTTTAGACTCGTGGTCCTTATTGCATTTGGTTGAATAAAAAGTGATATGACCTTGGTGTTAAAGTTTATGAATTTCCGATGTGTATTAAACGAATTATTTTATATTTTAAGTATTAGACAAGTTGTTGTCGGTTTATCCGATTTTATGTGATGCATTAAAAAGAAGAAGAAAAATTTACAGTTGTATGTTTTTTAGTATGGATGAAATGTGACATCTCAATTGTTGAACTCTGATTAAATTGCTATTATCTGTTGGGGTAGATTTGGAGTGTTACATCATACAAAACCAAAATGATTTACCTAAATCTATTGTAGATACATCGAAGTCTTTGTTATCAACACGAGCTTGACAAGGCCAATTTGGAGTAGGCGAGTGATCCTTAATGTTCTGGAAATAATTTACCCGAGGAGCTGAAAACAGCAATCAACCAGTTCACGGTTACTGGTTTTTCTACCAACCCACCAAATAACTATATTAAATTGCATGTCTCGGTGTAGTTTGTGAGAATTTTGTAGATGGAATGACAAATGGCATCAGTTTAAAAAACCAATAACTAATGACAGAAGTAAAACAAAATAAGAAGTTTAGTGTTAATTGTTGTGTACATGAGTTTGAAGGTGCCGTGTTATGAAACTGATTAAAATTAACATTCTATCATATATCAAAGACTGCATTTTCATTGGTTTGAAATATGAAGGGTAGGGCAAAGCCCGTATATATTAAGAGAATTTTTAACAGAATATAAAATTATGATATAGTTGATACATTAATAAGGTTTACTTACACTTACACATTAATCATACATACATAAATAGATACATATCAATCTAAGTAAGATGTTGTAGCATTCACGATTGATTGATTTATAACTTGGTTCTGTAAAAATCAGTTAATTGAAATCAGCTGAAAACTCTTATGTTAGTTTTGCATTCTAACTATTTCTGGTTAAAGAATAAGCATTCTTCACCTTTCTTGTTTGGATGCGCTTTAGCAATGTGTCGAGTTGTTGTTCCAAACTCTGAAGCTCTTTCACACTAAAAGGATCCAGATCATGTCTTACAATGTTCCTATATTAAAGATGGTATATGGTATATCAATACTATATATTACTTTTCCATAATGTTATTGATTTTGAACCCCTATACATGAGAAAATCAATAAGAACAACTATTAGTACTAATTGAAACCCGGAGATGAATTAGTTAGGTATTTGTTTCTTGCAAAAAGTTGGTTGTGCCGGCTGTTATCCCCCAGATCTCTAGATACTTGTGAAAAACCTTCTGCAGATTTTCATCCAAATCACTGTAAAAAATAACAGAAACATTCAGAAACCATAATAGATGTATTCTATGATAAAGTTAAATGACGACATATATTATTTACGTGATCTCAGGTCCCCTTATACCAGCTCGTCTTCAGAATTGTCAGGCTTCTTTATTGACAAGCTATTGATTGAAATCTGATGAAGGCAATCAAGCCAAACTCTAGGAACACTCCATTTCCTTTGAAAACAGTCTCAACCAAAGGAATGCTAGAATTAATATCATTCTTCTCATTGTCATCTGCATCGTCGACCTCGTTTTCTACAGGTGTTATGTTAGGGATGTCAACTTAAACTGTGATCATTTCATCCTCATATTGTCTTTTTAGTCGAATACTTCTTTCTCCAGGTTTGTCCTCAATCTCAAAAGGAAATCCAATACGAATTTCAACCCGGAAAAGTTGCACAAAAGTGAAAAATGACGGTGAATATCAAAAGCAATTGTGCTCCACATACACATCCTATGTTAATCTTTGTTATTCCTGACCCCTGAAAAGAACCGTAGTTGGTAAAAATCTAAAAGGGAAAACTTGAATTTTTTTTTTGCAATAACTAAGTATAGAAATTTTTTTCTGTAAATAATCGTGTTTCAGAAAACCCCACAAGGGAGGAGTCATCTCAATTGACGCATACACCTTATTTTAAAGGGGAGACGCCATTTCACTTGACACCTTAAATGTGGTACGTTACGTAACCGACATAGGATCACAAAAATTTGACTTTTTATTTACACAATATGATTACACAAAACAATTACATAAAAAAATACAAAATAACCAGTGGTCCCCCAGAACCCAGTAACTACCCGCGGTTCTGCATCTCCGTCATCGCCTTTTCCGTGGTGGGTTTCATCGCGTTTCCTGTTGTGGCAGGGTCGATAGCTCAGCGAAGTCAATGCATTCCGAATCTATGAAATCTGTCAGATCTCCATATCTAGAAGATCCGCTTTGGTACAGTCGGTTACCGATACCATCAAAGTTTGGTCGTGTTGGTGGTGGGTGGGGTTCCATGGTTGGTCTATAACACTGGTCGTCTGAGTACAAGGGTAGAAAGGAAATGAATCCTGGGGTGTTTGGTATTGGGAATGTTGGGTGCTTTGGTGATGTGGTGGTTGATGGTAAGTTGAGTCGGTTGATTCATAATCTTTAGAAAATCCCAGATCA